GGCTCGAATGGTGTATTGATAGACTAAACTGGACCATAAGACAGTGAAGAATGTCATACGGAGTGATAAAAGTTGCCTTACACTCACTATTTGGTAACGATGCGTCAACACGAATTTGGCGCGAAAGGGGATTCGTTTTAATATTGAAAATCTGGTACCAACGATAAAGCATGGTGAGGAGGAATAATGGTTTGGATTGCTTCGCAGGTAAAGAGTTAGGACCATTGGCTAAAGTAGAAGAAAAATAAACCATTAAGATTATATCATTATTTTAGTTGCCATCACTGCACAAAAGCTACTTTCGAAGAAATCTCTCTATAAATTATTACAAATCATTACAAATTTCAAGATGATGACGCGCCTGTTAATACAGCTAAAAATGTTATAAAATGGTTATCTGAAAAAAGGATGAGGGTTCTGGAAGATTGGCCTTCTTAATCCGTAGACCTTAATCCAATTGAACACTTATGGGATGAGCTTGGTAGGAGATTAGAAAACATCCTACACATCAAAAAAATAAGAAAATTATTTGAGAAAAGAATGGTAACATATCCCGCGCGAAAAATATTTGAGATTAATTGACATTATTCCAAGGATAGAGAATGCATCCTCAATAATGGGTGGCTAACAAGTTATTAACATTATTTAAGAATTTTTTTTTGTGCGCGCAGATAGAAGAATAACTCAAATGTTATCGATATATATTTTTTTCTTTGCTTGTTGAAAAATTTTTTTTTTTACTTTGGGAATATGATTCCGCAACAGAAAATTTCACTGATTCATAAACGGATCATAAATTAATGTTGTGCGTGAATTTGGAATCTGAAATCCACGCGCGAAATTCAAATTAGCCAATCAGAATTTTGTATTCAAACACCTACCCCAGAATTTTAATTATTTAAATCTCGAATTGACGCAAATTTGGTTTTCACGCATAACATTAACAAACAAAAAGTGGACAATAATTTTGCATATGTTACTACTATTAATGTGAATGTTCGAATGTTATTTCGCTTTCTGATATTTGAATAGGAAGGAACACTAAGTACTAGGTGAAGTATATGAAAAAATACTCAAAGATCATTTATCACCTTTTCTTCAATCTTTGGACTATATCTAATGTAACAATGAACATTTTAGCTTAAAAACCATATCTATTTTGTTTTAATAAAGCTTTCTTCTGAGTTTTAAACAACCTTTTTCTGCCTGTCTCACCCCTAAATAAATATATATCTTTAAAACAATTTCAACCCGAGCCTATTTTGACGCTGGGGTTCGTTGAGATGTGGTTTTAATGCTTCATTGCGTGAGTTTAAACCAATTTCATGAAATCTTTAATAAATTGTTGTAACTGAAACATTTAAACCGGTGGTCTCGTTTATATACCACTAGCAGCAATTCTATTATTGTTAGCAATGATTTTCTTCAAAGCGTACTTTTTGGGTCTAACACTTCTCTGTTTGCTTATTGGTGTTTCATATTTTCCATAAACTTGAACGCTCTTTTCACTGCTGCAGCTGGAAACCAAGAATCTCGCTGATTTCTTTTCTAGTATGATTACCTATGAAAAGACATGATTTGAGATCTTTGAGCTATAGCGAATTTGTGATTTTTACCTAAGCCGACTAAGAACTTAAATAAGTCGCAGTTGATGAAAAACTTTTCAGATGGTACTAAGCTTGCCGGTATTATTATTACTACTACTATAATTATTATTACTATAATTTTATTATAATATCTCGCCTTTAAATAATTCGAATAGAACGAATAATTCGAATAAGACGAATAATTCGAATTAAGATAAGAATTTGCATTACGAATAGAAATTCTATAATTTTTATCCTTGATGTATTGTATTTGTTCTTTGAACAAATGTATGTTTTTTGTCATTCTAAGTAATGCAGGTGGTCCATCTCAACTAAACGTCTATGCCACTAAATTC